CAAACCCGGGCCGCCAGCAGCGGAGCGCGCGCACTTAACCGCTAAGCCACGGGGCCGGCCCTGTTTCCATTTCTTTTGAGGACATACCTAAGGAGTAATTGCTGGGTCATGTAGTAACTCTCTGTTTAATCTTTTGAGGAACAGCTAGACTGTTTTCCAAAGTGGCTGCACCATTTTACAATCTACCAGCAGTGTATGAGGATTCCCATTTCTCCATATCCTCATCAATACTTATTATTATCTGCCTTTTTGATTATAATCATCCTAGTGGGCGTGAAGTGGTATTTCATTGTGGTTTTGGATTTGCATTTCCCTGATGTCTAAAGATCTGAGGACTTTTTATAAACTGCATTTGCAATTAGGGTTGTCTACCCAATTGTTCTTGTCACCTGATATGGTGACAACTCTGAAGGAATTAAGGGTCTCCACTAACTCTTCAACTTTTTCTCAACAACACAGTCATACCCTCTGTATTGTGATTATGATTAGCCACCCAGTCATTGAAAGCATTCTCGAGCACCAACTGGGTTCTGGGCACTGTGCTGGGTGCTGGGGATATAGCAAAAAAAAGCAAGATCTCACCCCTTGGGGAGCTTGATGGGTAAGAGTGTGGCTCTGGACTTAAATCTTTGCTTTGTCACCTCCCAGCCATGTGGCCTTGGACATGGTGCCTAACTTTGCTCAGCCTTATTTTCCTCATCTGTGAAATAAGGTTGCTCTGAGAGTTACATGTAAAGCACTTAGCACGACGTCTGACACACAGTGAGTGCTCAGTAGGCATTTGTTATTGTTAAAAGTGAAGCCAGACAATTAAATACAAACAGTAATGGATAATGAGTTATGATCAGAGAAGTACAAAGTGTCACGGGAATACATAGTGAGGACCCCCGACCCAGTCCAGGGTCTGGGAAAGGCTACTCAAGAGGAAGTGATGTTTAAATGGAGAGGTGACGGTTGGGTAGGAGTTGGCTAGAGAAAGGGCTGTGTGTGTGGAGCAGGGTGTGGGTGAGTGTGGGTGTGAGGTGTTCCTGGCAGATGGAACAGCTTATGTAACAACTTGGAGGCAACAGAAGAGAGCATGGCATATTGAAGAGACTGAAGTGTCTTCAGAAAGTCTAGAGCTGGGCCAGCCCGGTGGTGCAAGTGGTTAAGTGAGCTGCGGCGGCCCGGGGTTCGCCAGTTCAGATCCCGGGCGTGCACCGAGGCACCGCTTGGCAAGCCATGCTGTGATGGCGTCCCATATAAAGTGGAGGAAGATGGGCACGGATGTTAGCCCAGAGCCAGTCTTCCTCAGCAAAAAAACGAGGAGGATTGGCAGATGTTAGCACAGGGCTGATCTTCCTCACACACACACACAAAAAGTCTAGAGCTGTCCAGTGGAATTCTATGTGATGATGGAAAAGTTTTATAACTGTGCTGTCCACCATGGTAGCCACTAACTACATGTAACTATTGAGCGTTTGAAATGTGGCTAACGTGACTGTAGAACCGAATGTTTGATTTTATTTTATTATAACTGATTTTTTTTTTTTAAAGATTTTATTTATTTTATTTTTTCCCCCCAAAGCCCCAGTGGATAGTTGTATGTCGTAGCTGCACATCCTTCTAGTTGCTGCATGCGGGACTCGGCCTCAGGATGAACGGAGAAGTGGTGCCTCGATGCGCACCCGGGATCCGAACCCGGGCCACCAGCATCGCAGCGCGCGCACTTAACCACCAAGCCACAGGGCTGGCCCTATTATAACTGATTTAAATTTAAATAGCCACTGTTGAGCCGGCCCAGTGGCTTAGCGGTTAAGTGCGCACGCTCCGCTGCTGGCGGCCTGGTGTTCGGATCCGGGCGCGCACTGACTCACCGCTTCTCTGGCCATGCTGAGGCCGCGTCCCACATACAGCAACTAGAAGGACGTGCAGCTATGACATACAACTATCTACTGGGGCTTTGGGGGGAAAAATAAAAATAAAAAAAAAAATAAATAAATAGCCACTGTGGCTAGTGACTACCATATTGGACAGCGCAGGTCTAGAGTGTAGTGTGCAAGACAGGGTTGCAATGAGAGATGATGGTGGAAGGATGGAGAAGGGCATCCAGACTGACAGGGATGTGGTATGGAGTTTGCATTTTATTCTAAGCACCAGGGGAAGCCATTGTTTGGGAGTGGGGGGGTTAAACCAGGGAGTGAGGCAATCTGGTTTTTATTTTTGAAAGATCACTCCAGATGCTGTAAGAATAGATTATGAGGGTGAGGGTGGGGCACGAGTGAAGGAAGGAGACTAGTTTGGAGGTGGCTGCAGTCTCTCAGGGGAGAGATGATAACGACTTGGACCAGGCAGAGATATAGACAAATTTGGGAGGTAGAAGCGGGGGCGGGGTTTGCTAATGGATTGGATTTGAGGGAGTGAGGGAGAGAGAGGAGTCCTAGGGCTACTTGGATGCTGTGTCCCCAAGTCCCAAGGTTGAGTCCAGACCAGGGCAGGGCGGGGAGGTCTGGTTCCGGCAGTACATGCCGGCCTCCATGTCCCCCCCTGCTGGCTGGTGCTGGAAGCGTCTTTAACTAAAGAGTCTGGGAGCATCAGGGCCCCTGGCTAGAGGGCTAGGCGGCTCCGGGGAGGCCCCGGGAGGGGAGGAAATCCCCTCAAACTGTTGGTTGCGTGGGCGAGGTGCATTCCCAGGGGCATGTGCTGGGCTGAGCCTCTCCTCTCCTCTAACCGGGGGCCGTCGACATCAGCTATCTCTGCCCTGTGATGGGTCAGTCACTTCCCAGTCTGAGCCACATGGCTGCTGGGAGGCTGTGGTGGGGAAGGGGAGGGGGTAGAAGTCAGTGTTGTGGGGTAAAAATACCCCACCCCGTGCCAGCTCCCACCTGAGGCAAGGCCCCAGCACTAAGGGTTGCTTCTGATTGTCCCCACTCCCATCTGGGGCCCCTGTGGCTAGACAGTGGGGGTGGGGTGCGGTGGGGAGGGGGGTGGGGAGGCGGGGCGTGTCTCCCCAGAGCAGGGTGTGGCCAATGGTCCAGATGGTCGGTGTCTGATGGCCAACCTGTCCTGACAGGGGAGAGTCAACGCCCGCTCCCCACCGTGTCGGCTGGCCGGGTGGGCTGAGGGTGTGGAACACCGAGAGCGCATGACCCGCTAGCCGCAGCTGCGAGCAGCCTGGGGAGGTTCTGCGGCTCCTCCGTTCCTCGCTGTCAGCGCCCGCCGCCCCTCCCGGCTGCACTTCCTCCCCAGCCCCCGCGGCCCAGGAGGCTCGGGGACCCAGCGGCCGGCAGCCGGAGGCCGCCACGCCCTTGCTTCAGCCGTGCGGGGTAAGTAGGTGGGCAATTCCGGGGTCTGAGGGGCCGGGCCCCCAAACCTGACAGTGGATCATCAGGGTGGGGAAACCTGAGTGGGCTCCTTGCTTTTCCAGCCCCGAGCCAGGGTCTGCGTGGGGGCCGGCTCCCTCTACCCGGACTGCCAGATCCCTTCCTCCCACGCCAGGGTGGGTGCGGGGTCCAGGAGTGGGGGTAGGGGCTGGACAGACAGCTTTGCTGCTGAGGTTTGGGAGTGGTGGGTTGGGGGGCAGCTGGGAGGCAGAGTGGGTGGAAAGGGGTTTGGGGACATAAGCTGGGCTAAATGGTATGTGGCCCTGGAGGGGCACCCCGGTGTGGGCATAAAGATGGGTCAAAACTGCAAGCTGAGGCAGTCAGCCAAGTCCAGGCCTTCCCCGCTTCCTGGGAAAATGCCACACTCAGGTGGCCCCGGGCTATGGGAGCCTGAAGGGACAGGAGTGGGCCCAGGCCCTGCCCCCATCCCGCCGCTCACCACTTCCCATCCTTGGCCCTGTTCCTCTCTGCAGTGTCTCGCACTCTGCTGTCTCCTCTCCCATCTGACTCTTTTTCCTTCTTTCTGCTCCTACCCACTGGGGGCATAGGAGATCCCCCACCCCCTCCTGGGGCTCACCCCTTGCCATGTGATGGGGGTTGTGGTTTCAGTTCTCCTGTGAGGGTGAGATGGTGCTGTCAGCTGAGCTCCCAGAGCCCTGCTTAGGGCCTGAGGTGGGGCTGCCTGTCAGAGGGAGCTTTGGCAGCCAGCAAGGGGTCTTCCTCTCCATTCTGAAGCCTCTAGAGACCCTGAGGCACGGAGAGGTGGCATTCGATGCTCTCAGAGATGAATAAGACTGAAAAGATTTTGAGAACTGAAGAGGGACATTGTGGTAGGGTGAGGTGGTTTTAGACCAAGCTCTGCCAACAACTTGTGACCTTGGGAAAGTCACTTCCTCTTTCTGAGCCTTAGTTGTCCTGGCAGCAAACTGAGGGGATTGATAGACCAGTGGTTTTCCAACGGTTTCCCCCAGAGTGTTCCCCTCTGTCGTCAGGTTGAGTGACCCACCCCCACCCACAACTACACTTTTATCTGTTGTGAATACTGGCCACTGGGCAAGATGTTGTATAGAGAAACGGTTGTGCTGTTAATGCAAATGTTTGTTACCCTGGACCAGGGGCTGTGGTCTCTCAGATATCAGGAAATCCTGGATAGTCAGGGACTATCAGGGCCCTCCCTGTGGGACAGCGTCAAAGAGCAGACCCGTTGGGTCCCTGTTCCTCCCCGTTCTGGGACACGGCGCCATCCTCATGCCAGGAGCCTTCCTCCCGCTCCTCACCTCTGCCTTCCTCCTTTCTCTCACTCCCCCTCCTGTTGGGCTCAGCTCGAACAGTGGGTGGGTCTACTTGTACTCAGCTTCTAAAGCTCTCTTTTTTGTGTGTGTGAGGAAGATTAGACCTGAGCTAACATCCATTACCAAACTTCCTCTTTTTGCTGAGGAAGATTGGCCCTGGGCTAACATCCATGCCTATCTTCCTCTGCTTTATATGTGGGACGCCTGCCACAGCATGGCTTGATAAGCAGTGCGTACGTAGGTCCGTGCCCAGGATCTGAAACTGAAAACCCCGGGCCGCCTAAGCGGAGTACGTGAGCTTAACCACTACGCCACCAGGCCGGCCCCCTAAACGTCTATTTTTGCAGGCCCCAGCCAGACCTCCCACCCTGACCGGGGTCTGGGAGGAAGGAGGGGCCTCTGACAGCTCTGTTTCCACAGAGGTTGGAGCTGAACAGAGCAGTGTCCTCAGGATGACCTCGCCCTCCAGCCCTCCCGCTTTCAGGCTTGAGACACTGGATGACGTCCAAGAAGAGGATGCTAAAGTGGACAAAGCAAAGCTGGGCCATGGGGATGGGCCGCCCCCCATGGAGTCACCATTCCAGGGCGAGGACCAGAACTTCCCCCCTCAGATCAAAGTGAACCTCAAGTACAGAAAGGGAGCAGGTGCCAGGTGAGGCAGCAAATGGGGGTGGTGCCCCCGGGGCCCCTCCCCTCCAGGGGAGCCGTGCTCGTCAGACTCAGTGGCCCAGCCCAGCCCCAGGGCCACTTCCTCATAGCCTGCAGGGTCCTCAGTCTGGCTCTGATGGCTCCTGGGCCCAATAGGCTGAACTCTGCTCTGCTCTCTGGGGTTGCTCCTTCTGGAACCTTCTCCATTCTTGGCCCTCTGCCTTCTGAACTCATGTTATTCTTCATAGGGACATACTCTTCCAGCTCTAAGTACTCAGCTGACCCTTGCATCCCCCTTGTTTTGCGCCCTGGCCCCCACCCATGTCACAGTCCCTGTGGGAAATGGTAGCAGGATCCACACTCTAGTCCAAGGAAAGAGTCAAGGATATCTGGAAATGTCCCGAGTGCTCCTGGGTTCTGTTCCAAGGCTGAACTTGTCACCCAGGGGATGTGGACTTAGGATTGAGGATGATGGACTTCTGCTGGGAGTCATCTTTGCTTTGATTTCCCTGTGATCTCTACCAGTTCAGGCTCTGTGAGCCCACTCTTGCCATGAGTCTGACTTCCAGCCATGCGGGTGTGTGTGTGGGGTGCACCTAGCATCCCCCCAAGTGTGAAGCCTGACATATGAGGCTGAAGAATCTCTGTGAGCCAGGCGGGACTCTGCCAGGGAAGCCCCTTCCTCCCTCCTCACACCTGGGAGGCAGCCACCAGGTTTGGCCTCCTACCTCAGAGACCCCTGTACTGTTTGTGCTGGAGGACCGCTGTCAGATTCAGGCCAGGGCAGGAGAGGATGCCTGTGAGGCTTCTGGGAGCTGGGTAGCCTGCCTGACAGGCAGAATGGGCCCCTCAATGCCCTTCGGTGCGTCAATCTGTGCCCCTGTTGGGCTTCCCTACCCCAGGACCATGATGCTACCCTGCAACAGGAAGTACTTTGTCCAAATGACCACTTCTCCTGGCTGGACTGCCCACAGGGCTCCCTAGTCAGCTGCAGAGTGCTCTTGGTCATGTTGTGGCCACGTGGTCTGCTGGGCGGCTGATGGTGCATTTGGCCAGGCCAGGCAGACATGCAGCTTCCTGGTACTCAGGAAGCAGGGCCTGGCCCCATCAGTCACAAGGATGTGGCTTCATAATTTTATTTATTTATTTCTTTTTCCCCAAAGCCCCAGTAGATAGTTGTATGTCGTAGTTGCACATCCTTCTAGTTGCTGTATGTGGGACGCGGCCTCAGCATGGCCGGAGAAGTGGTGCGTCGGTGCACGCCCGGGATCCAAACCTGGGCCGCCAGCAGCGGAGCACGCGCACATAACCGCTAAGCCACAGGGCCAGCCCCAAGGATGTGGCTTCAAACATGACTGATCCCAACAATCTCCCCTCTCATCAGAGCGTCACCAACCCTTACTCGGTTGGCCCATTCCATAGCAGATGTGAAGCTGGGACCTGAGGGTCCTCAAGGAGTCAAATAGCACCCCATTTGTTTGTCCCTTCACATCTGCTGCTCGTGGTGCCAGGAGCCTGCCCCAGGGTCAGGCTAGCCTCTGTGAATAATGACATGCCCAGGAGGGGTATCCCACACCCCTTCTCCTTTCCCATCACAGACACTGCTAGATTCTGGAGAGCTACAAGGCCCCTTCTGGTGCGTTTCCCAGAAGTGTGGCTTCTCAGTAAAACTCTGGTGGACGGTGTCTCATAGGTTTCAGCACTGGGTTCGCATGTCTCTTAGAAACCTCTGATTACCCAGCTTAGAATCTCTCTGGGGGTTGGGAGTCAGAGTCTGGAGTTAGCCCCCATGAGAGCCCCAGTTCTGCACTGTGTGACTTTCGGCAAGTTACTTTATCTCCTTGTTTGTCTAATGGAGAAAATAGTGACCCCTGACCCCAGGGCTGAAGTGACGGTCGAACGTACAGACGTTCCATTGTTAGTCCCTAGATGGCTTCTGAGAGGATGAGGGGCTTTTCTTGGTTCCTTTGTCAAGGCCCGTGGTGCATACAGCCCCTAACAGTCTGTGGGCACCTCCTGTAGCCCTGTCCTGACCTGGACCCCAGCTCAAGAGCCACTGCTAGTTCCTGTGCTGAAATAGACCCTGTGAGATCATGCGCCTGTGGCGAGATCATCAAGGCACTTAGCAAACGATAAGCACCTGATGCTGAGACACATCTTTGATGCCGGGAGTCATGAGGATGCTGTGGACTAGTGCCCTGGACAGGCTCCTCCTCCTCCTCCTGGGGCTCTGACTACTTGGGGTGTCCTCAGTCAGCTCTGGGAAGGCAGAGGCCCTCAGAAAGGCTCCCATAGGGCTCCCGAGCCTGGGGTTGCACGGTGCTCACAGGACTCCCTGAAAGGGCTTCCTGGGATGGGGGCTTCCTGGGAGGCCTGTGGCTCTTGTACAGCATCAGTTACAAACCACATCCCCCACAGCCAGCCAGACCCAAACCGCTTTGACCGTGACCGGCTCTTCAGCGTGGTGTCCCGGGGTGTCCCCGAGGACCTGGCTGGGCTACCAGAATATCTGCGCCGGACCAGCAAGTACCTCACTGACTCAGAGTACACAGGTAGGCCTGCCCTGCGGGCCAGAACCGAGGCATCTTGCTGCCTGTCCTCAGACTGGGTGACTGGGCGGGCCTTGACCGTGGCCAGGAGCCAAGGGGTGGAGTGTTCCTAGCAGCCCTTCTGCCCACTTACGGTAGTGCCTGTGCCTCCCGCTTCCACCCACCCCACCAGATCCCAGCCCACCTCTGCCACCCCCAGCCCACTGCAGCAGCCGAATGGATACTTATGGGCGTCCTCGATGCATTCTTTTCTTTTTTTTAAACAACAGCGTTGTTGAGATATAATACCCATACCATACACTTCACCCATCTCAGAGCACTCTTTGCCGAAAACCTAAATTTAGATCTTAATTGTTTGGGCTGATTAGAAAAAATAACATTTGTATGTTCTAGAAGATTCAAATAGTAATGAAATGTATAAAGCTGGGAGTAAAAACAGTCTGTCATCTTAATGATCTGGGATACATCTTTTCAAACTGTTTAAATACATTAGGTATATATTTACATAAATGAGGTCATGTCATTTGTACTAAGTTGTAATGTGCTTTTTTCCCCCCACTTACTACATCTTGTAGCACTTTCCATTTCAGTATATAGACTTCTAATTCTGTCACTTTAACAACTGCAGAGTTTACCATTGTGTGGATTTACCATCATTTAGTTAACTCATTCCTTACTGATGGCCAGTTAGGTTGTTTGTAGTTTTCGGCCTCAACATACTGTGTGCCAGGCCTTCTCTGTGCCAAGCATTTGATCCGTACAATAACCCTGGAATATTCCCATTTTACAGTGAGGAAAACTGCGGTTAAGTGGGGCCAAGTGACTTGCCTGAGGAAACAGAGCCATTAAGTGGTGGAGCCACTTAACAAATAGTGCTCCAAATGTTCTTGTATAGACAGTGTTACACATATGATGAATTATGTCTTAGAAACTTAATTTCTAGGGCAGAAATTGTAGTCATACCTGTTGGTATTTTAATACCTGTTGGCTGGAGCCTAACTACCTCGCGGCATAGCTGTGCTCCCACCAGTTGTGTGTGGCAATCTTTTTTTATCCTCCCAAGGGGTATTTTGCAGCCTGGGCTCACTGTATAGCCTGGTGGGCAGCCCAGCCACTCCAAACCTGAGCACCCCAGTGTCCCTTTCCCCCTACCTCCTCCCCGCAGAGGGCTCTACAGGGAAGACATGCCTGATGAAGGCTGTGCTGAACCTTCGGGACGGGGCCAACGCCTGCATCCTGCCGCTGCTGCAGATCGACCGGGACTCTGGCAATCCCCGGCCCCTGGTCAATGCCCAATGCTCAGATGAGTACTACCGAGGCCACAGTGCCCTGCACATCGCCATCGAGAAGAGGAGCCTGCAGTGTGTGAAGCTCCTGGTGGAGAATGGGGCAGATGTGCATGCCAGGGCCTGCGGCCACTTCTTCCAGAAAAAGAGCCAAGGGACTTGCTTCTATTTTGGTGAGGAGCCTCTCTTGGATAAATTGAGGGGGTAAGGCCTTGACCAAGGTCACATGGTTAATGGACAGCTGAGCTGGCTCTTAACTCAGGTCTGTCTGACCCCAATGCCTGTGCTCCTAACCACTATGCTGCCTGCAAAAGCAGTTTGTCTTAAGAGGCGTTATATCCTTGTCTGGCCAAGGAGGCTCACCACACACCCAAGCTCAGACCAGGACTGGGGGATGGCCTCTAGCACTGGCATATGACGAGAACAGACCAGACAGAGCCTGAATAAAGGAGTGTCTATGTCAGGTGGCAGTGGGCCTGGGTTCTGTTGAAGAAAAGAGAAAGAGGCAGGGGAGACGGGCACCCTGGTAACTGGCCCCTGTCTGCTCCCTTAGATGGTAGGAGCTTTGGTCCCTTCTCTCTTGGGTCAGAGCCAGGCAAGGCCACCTTTACCAGGGCTCATAGGAGAAGGCATAGCTGCCCTAAGTGGGGCCTGGGACCCCGAGTGAGTGCTCCATCCTCTCCTGTGGGTGCCTGACCTGCTGCGAGGAGGCCTGGCCTTCTGTCTGAGGAGTAGGCACGTGGAAGCTGGGAGGCCCAAGGCCCAAGCTGCCCCCTCGGCCCCCAGGTGAGCTGCCCCTGTCTCTGGCCGCGTGCACCAAGCAGTGGGATGTGGTGACCTACCTCCTGGAGAACCCGCACCAGCCAGCCAACCTGCAGGCCGCCGACTCCCTGGGCAACACGGCCCTGCACGCCTTGGTGATGATCGCTGACAACTCAGAGGAGAACAGCGCACTGGTGATCCACATGTATGACGGGCTCCTCCGAGCCGGGGCCCGCCTCTGTCCCGCCGTGCAGCTCGAGGACATCCCCAACCGGCAGGGCCTCACGCCCCTGAAGCTGGCCGCCAAGGAGGGCAAAATCGAGGTGAGTGGCGGGCCCCCCCTTCCCCCTTTTCCAGGAAGCAGCAGGACTCACCCTGAGATTTTTGCGGAAGGAGCCTGGGGTGGTGGTCTAGATCAGTGGTCTCCCCATTTTTCAAGTGAATGCTCCAACTGGTAAGAACACTTTCAGCATGCACCTCTAATATATGTATGTTTATTGGTAAATTATATGTGAACTACTGAACTAATATGTTACATTATAAAATGCAGGAATTTTTTTTTAAGTCACTGGGTTTCTTTATTAGGAGACAGACTTTTCCTATCCTTTGCCTATTTTGCTATTAGATTTGCTCTTAGGTTTTCTTCATATTGATTGGTAAGTGCTCTTTATAATGAACATATTAGCATTTTGTTTACTATAACAGTTGCAAAATTTTCTCCTAGTTCAACATTAAAAAAATTTTGGGAGGGTATTTTTTGCCACACAGAATTTTTACATTTTTATGTATACAAGTGTAATTATCTTTTCCTTTAGGGTTACTTGGTTTTGCTATTGCTTAATTTCTTCTACAAAGTTATATATATATAACCTTGTATATATGTGTATGTGTATACACACACAGGCACATATATATTCCATGTCTATATTTTCTTCCAGACCTTTGCAGTTTCATTTTTTTTTCCCCCCCAAAGCCCCAGTAGATAGTTGTATGTCATAGTTGCACATCCTTCTAGTTGCTGTACGTGGGACGCAGACCCAGCACGGCTGGAGAAGTGGCGTGTGGGTGCGCCTGGGATGTGAACCCGGGCCGCCAGCAGCGGAGCGCACGCACTTAACCACTAAGCTACGGGGCTGGCCCTACAGTTTCATTTTATAATTTTATTTATTTATTTATTTTTTCCCCCAAAGCCCCAGTAGTTAGTTGTATGTCATAGCTGCACATCCTTCTAGTTGCTGTATGTGGGACGAGGCCTCAGCATGGCCGGAGAAGCGGTGCGTCGGTGCGCGCCCGGGATCCGAACCCGGGCTGCCAGCAGCGGAGCGTGCGCACTTAACCACT